GTAGGGTGGCCACCTCATCCCTTTAAACCCGAACACATATTAATTACACAGGTTCTGTTGCTGATTTAGGTGGTAATTAAACTCACTTAGTGCCTTATCTATATTTAGTTAGCCTCAGAACCCGTGTAATTAATATGTGTTCAGTTTCAAAGGGATGAGGTGGCAAGCCTACCAAGAAGCCAGTCCAGAGCAATGGTGGGCAGCCAACACTGGGGCAAGTGCAGCGCAGTGGCTAAATGGTTAGCAGTTCCAACTGGCAGTACCAGGGCTGTTGGTTCGAATACCAACCACGGCACTACATGCCTGGAGTTTGCATGTTCTCCCTGTGCCTGTGGGGGTTTCCTCTCATACTCCAAAGACATGCTGGGAGGTGAATTGGCTCCTATCTAAATTGTCCCTAGTATGTGTATGTATGAATGTGAGTTAGGGACCTTAGATTGTACGCCCCTTGAGGGTTAGGGACTGAATGTACAATATATATGTAAAGCGCTACATAAACTGACGGTGCTATATAAGTACCTGAAATAATAATAATATAGACAGAAAGTTGCTGGAGGGAATATTGAAAACAAAAAATGGCTATTGTTTAAGAGACAGTGCTTTATCAAACTGCTACAGTATATGCATAGTAACTATGTACAAATTGCCATACCTGGTATTCTTTAAAGTGGTAATAAACTCATTTTTTTTGTTTTGTTTGTTCATTTTACCTATAGGGAAGCTCATAATAAAGCTTTCCTGTAGGTAGAATTAATACCTCCATGCATCGTTTGGGAGATATTCTCTCTTTTCTAAAGCCAGATGCCCACCCTCTGAAGGACTGGCATTCCCGTGCTGTTCCTTCAGAGCTGTACGCCGTGGCCCAGGACTCCCGCGCGCATGACGTCATCGTGGCCTGGCCTGTCAGACGGCGGGAGCTCGCGAACCCGGATGGAAGACCAGGTGAAGATGGAAGCCTCTACAGTGGTGACAGCGCGCCGCTAGGGGGCTTAGTTTTAAGGTAAGTTTTTATATAATGTGCTAGTATGCAATACATACTAACGCATGTTTTCTTATTATAATATCTTTTATTACATTTTAATTTTTTTTAAATACACTACAAAACAGTCATATATTCTTACTACATCATATAAATACACATTATCCCCATTCCCTCCCAATACAAAAATCCCTGTCCAATTTTGTCTTATCATCTCTTTCCCCTTCTATTGATCTAGTCATGTATATAGTCATGGCAACACCCCTTATGAGGACATATTCGCATACAAAACGCATCAAGGAGGAGCCTTTGTACGCCGCGACGTCACGCCGCCGTGTCACGGAGTTCCGGCAGCCATCTTTAAACACCAGCTGGTTAGTGCTTGCAGCAGCCTGGACGCTGCTTCATCCATTTTTTTATGCAGATAACTCATGTTATGTGCACTACATGTTACATCCTTGCATTTTCCCAATAAAATTTGTTACATACTACACTATGGGCATCTATATTTCTTGCTCTGCATCGAGCAATTAAATCCACCCAGGACCCCAGGTGATCCATCCAGACCAGAGGAGGGAAGCCTATGACTAGACCCTATCACAATATACCTGTTAAAGGGGCCCTCTGATTGACATCTCTAACATTCAGATCCATAGAGGAGGGGATCTTGTACCAGGCTGTACCTTAAAGGGGACCTCCGCTTCTGGCTTATTTGATCAATGCGCATTAAGTTTGCGCTTCCGGTGAGTGGGCAATCTTTCCATTTGTCGCATGTCAACGGAATACTACTGGTTCAGAAGTTTTTCATCCGTTAATAACCATTGGGGACTAATAATAAACACAGTGCAGCGCTTATAATAAACCTAATATGATAAATACTTCCCAATATAAACAGTGAAATATACTGATGATGGTGAAAAAAAAAATTATATTCATATATAGGTGCACAACACTCAATTCCCCCTATATAAATCCACACTTCTTATTGTTCTTATATGTATATAGATCTATTTAACCATTTAAACTTTCTAACTCTGCTACCAGGGTACCTTTCATTTTTAAATATTTTTCTGATGTTTTAAACTCATACCATCTACCCCACATCTTTCTAATTGTTTCCATTTCATCTTTTTCCATGTAACGAAGTTCCTCCATTCCATTAACATATTCATTTCTGTCTATCCAATCCCTCATTGTTGGAAGGTCCTGGGCCTGCCAAAACGTAGGGATTAAGCCTTTTGCCTTGCTAGTCAGATGGTATAATAAGCTGTTTTTATATTGTTTTACTGACATCTTCATACTAGCGCATTATGACATTACCTTGCAGGGGACTTCTTTTTTTGTTGTTTTCTTTCCTGTGGTTTATTACCGCTTTAAGCCGCGTATGACCAGCATTGCCTTGAGCTTAGAGGATCATTGTTAATATTCTGGATAAAAGTGGGTCCAGTGACTTTTCTACCTTATATCTTGGCCCTCTTAAACAGGAATAATAGTAATAATGGCTAGGCTAGATAATATACCCAGGTCAACAGACAGGTTTGCAGTGCTGGGTTTACATCTGAAGCCTTTATCAGTTCAGGGGGGGTTTTCTTAGAGCTAAATGCATTATAATGGCACCTGCAATAAAACACTTGAAATGCCCTGATGATCCTAAAACAATACCTGCAGGCTGTAGCTAAGTTATTCTGCACCTTCCATTATCTTTTCATCACTCTGTTGTTAACTTGTAAGGGGCAGAGTAGATACTGCAGGCCCTGAGGCTACACCGCATCTGTAAGCAACCATCTTAGTACCAGCTGCCTTGTTACCGCAAACAAGACCCGCTGAAAAAAATCATATCAGGTCATTGGACTTCATCATACATGCACAGAGGCTGGATCGTCAGTCGCCGCAGAACATCTTGTCAACTATGAAATGTCCCCTTTGCAGATTGACAGGTATGCATTGGGAGAGGTCATGTAGCCACAGGCCATGTTTTTTCACTGGGGAGGGGGAAATGGTCAACTAAAAAACTTGCCCAAGCAGCAATTTCCCCTCCGAGGCCACATTGTCCTCATTTAAAACATAATGAGCACAGCTCAGGTAGTCATTCTTTATCTCCCCCCTTCCCCCAGGTGAAACAATGAAGTTGCAAAGGAAGAAAACAAATAGTAAAGTTTTGAATGAGCGGGACCCCAGCGCCCTTCTCCTTTTGTTGCTCACTCACTCCACCTGCCTTTCAAATGTGATATAGAAATCAGCAAGTGCTTGAAGACACTGAAAGCAGCAGGTGTTTCCGATTTCCTCGCGGAGAGTACAGTGTATTGTTTTGCTTTTCACCCTTCCCTAGTAGAATGTTGACTCTTTTAGCGTGCACCTGTCATATAGAGTATGCAGCTGCTGTAGAACTACAGGTCTCAGCATGCTCTGTCGCTGGATTTAATATGTTGCAGACTCTGCATGAAATCTACAATCAGTTATGTGGTTCCTGCAAAAATTGGGACCCGCTTACAACTGGACTGCCTGATTTTAACAAAAGGGGGGTGATCAAGGGGGCCCTGTGCAAGACCAATGTTTGGGCCCCCATTCAACATGAACACTTAATGGTGTTTTGATTGACAGAGATAGAAGTTAGCTGTGTCCGGGTCTACAGACAGTAAGAAGGGATCTCAACAGCCATATGACCCATATTATGTATGGACAGGCCCCTAGATCCAAGAGGGCCCTTGTGCACCTGCACAGTCTGTACAAATAGTTCATCAGGATCAGAGCCTCAAATCCCTCTTGTATTGATCTGTATTGTTGCTCTATTGTCTCCCGTTATATTGTAAAGCGCTGAGCAAACTGTTGGCGCCATAAATCCTGTATAATAATAATAATAATCTGCCCTTCAGTACCATTCAGAGATGAAAGTATACAAATAATACACGCATTTTTATTATTATGTATTTAGCGGTCTTGTCTTCCCCTTTTAGGGTTGTAGCCAATGAGATTTGTGTACCATTTTTGTGGTTAATAACATCACAAATGTTAAAAAATAAAGAAACATTGTTCTATAAATTAATTTTTTTTATTTATTGAATATCAATAAATTGTGTTTATAAAAAAAAAGTTTCAACAGTACAAAATGTGGCAGATAAAAATATAAATACCAGTGTACCTTTCGAAAATGTAAACATTTCTTTTGTAAGGATTATGTAGAAAAAAAATTAATTAAAAAAAAAAAAAAAAAAAAAAAAAAAAAAGAATGTACAGATGCTAAAAAATGCATTGAACTGACACCTGTCAATAGACATAAATATTTTCTTTATAGTCTTGCTGGTTCACCTGTCTGCGGGCTGACTTGCACAATCATCCATTGTATGGCCTGACAACTGCCCGCTATTAATCTGAGCGCCCGTGAATGGCAGTTGTTTTAAAGAGCTGTATTAACAGGTGCTGGAGAGCTTTGTAAACACAATTGTTATTTGGTAACAGCGACCAGCTCTCGCTTTCCTGACCATTGTTCTCAGAGCGGCCTCTAAAGATCCATCATGGTGCCGCATCCAAACAGCTGCCCTGTAAGTGTGATATTATTATTGCATAGTAACACCTTGGCTGAAAAGTACTTGCCTTGCATATATTTATATATATATACACACATGATCATAAAAATAAGACACTTTTTTACCTAACACTTTCATTCTGTCCTTCATAAAAAAAAATAGAGGAATTAGCCTATCTCTGCTTCCAAAAATACAGGTAAAAAAATAACTTTTTTTTCTTTTGCCATTAAGTTCTGCAGTCGCAGGTTCATTGGAAATACTGTGTGAACAGTCTAGTGTGCACATGAATGTAGTGTTATCTAGGAGACTGCAAGGAAAGTCTGGAAGGCAGAGAGCTAGTTTCGGCACCTAAGAGCATGTTTTTTGATACAAGTGTAATAGGTCCCCATGTGATTGCTGCGCGCTTGCTACACCATAGCCAGGGAATAGTTTAAGTCAGGGAGAGACTTGGCTCCCTCTGCATTGTCTGTAAAAGTCACTCGGGCACAAGGGAGCGTTCAGTGGGTTCCCGAACAGCCCGTCTCCTCGTGCTTGTGAAGGAGTGACATTCTGGAGAAAGTCCTGGAGCAGGTTTTGCACTGGTACTTCTTGACGTCTGAGTGCGTCTGCAGGTGGGCTCGGAGGTTCGAGCGGTCCGCGAAGGCCCGGTTACAATGCGTGCAGGAGAAGGGTTTTTCACCTGTCAAAAAAAAGAAAACAGAAAATACATTTCCATTAATGATCAAGAACAATTATTCACTTTATAATTTTTAATTAGTAAAAAGATCCCAATTACCCCATCAAAGGGACAAGGTGTTGGGTCTGCAAGGGCGTGTAAGATTTAAGATTGTGAAAATAAAGTGCTTAATTAAATTGGCATTCAGCCTTTTGTATAAGATGCTAATGGTCACATGGCTAGTGTTCTATGAGGCATTTATCCAACACAATTAATGGCATTTGATTTCCCTTTGCATAGCCTTTAGCACTTGAAGAGGGTGTGAAATTAGTCCCATACAACTCACAACAATCAGACTGGATGCAATGAGGGAGTCTACATCCCAATACAACCCGACAGCTGCAAGTACACAGGCCATACAACTGTACAGTAACAGGTGCAATTCACAGGCCCACCCTACACAACATCCGCTCTACCTTCTAAAAAAGAATTGCCGTAGCTGAAATAATCCACATTTATTTTAATTTTTTTCCTTTTTGTCATTCCTAAATAAACTCTAGGCCTCTCGACCACCAACACACAACCCATCCTAAAAGGAAGCAGCTGACCTCAAAAATAAGGCTTAGAATCTTAAGTCCCTCAACTGCCAATAAATATCAGTTTTTTACAAAAAAGTTTAAGAATTTTTGAGACAAAGTCATACAGAGCTGAAGATCCTTACCTGTGTGAGTTCTGATATGTCCCTGGAGAAGCCACGGTCTGGAGAAGGCTTTGCCGCAGATTTTGCAGACGCAAGGAAGAGTGTGACTCCTGATATGCATCTTCAGGGCCCCAAGGCTGACATATTCCTTGTCACAGTATTTGCAGCTGAAGGATTTTCTGGTTTGTGAGTCACAGTGCAGTTGCTTATGTTTGGACAGTCCAGCGAAAGTAGAGTAAGACTTGTTGCATTGGTTGCAGTGGAACTTCTCAGCTTCTGTGGCAGAGGACGCCGGACTGGGGGGGTCGGAGGTCTTGCCCTCGTCGTCCTCACTGGAGAAAGAAGTGAGGTCCAGGGGCTTGGAATCATCACTGGACATGGAAATGGGGGACTTGCTGTAGTCGGGGTCAGTGGTGAAGAAGGTAGTAAGTAAGCTGGTGTCCCAGACCAAAGGTGGGAAGTAAGCTCCAGTGGTCAGGATCTCCGGGTGGGGAATGACAGGTATGGGGTATTTGTCATAGAGGAATGGAGAGATATACACTGTAACAAAAAAAACAAAAACAAAACATATCCATAAGCTCTTTAATCTAGAACCATGCCCAAACTACATATATGTTCACAAAGAGAATAAAAGAAAAAATATGCAACACATACATGCTGCCATTTATAGTATACATTGTCTAGCTTTTATTTATAGTATGCATGCTATACATTTTTATTATAGTATGCATGGTCTACTTTTTTTTATAGTATGTATGGTCTACTTTTAGTATGCATGGTCTACTTTTTTTTATAGTATGCATTGTCTATTTTTTTTATTATAGTATGCATTGTCTACATTTTATTTATAGTATGCATGGTCTACTTTTTTTTATTATAGTATGCATGCTCAACATTTTTATTATAGTATGCATGGTCTACATTTTTATTATAGTATGCATGGTCTACTTTTTATTATAGTATGCATGGTCTACTTTTTATTATAGTATGCATGGTCTACTTTTTATTATAGTATGCATGGTCTACTTTTTATTATAGTATGCATGCTCTACTTTTTATTATAGTATGCATGCTCTACTTTTTTTTATAGTATGCATGGTCTACTTTTTATTATAGTATGCATTGTCTACATTTTATTTATAGTATACATGGTCTACTTTTTATTTACAGCATGCATTATCTACTTTTTTTTATTATAGTATGCATCATCTACTTTTATTATAGTATGCGTGGTCTTCTTTTTGTGTGTGACATTATGCATTTCACTGTACTTGATACTTGCACATATCACAATAAACCTTATATAAGTAAAGTAAATAAAGAATAGAATACACAAATATGTAAGCATATAGCTAGAAAGACATTCTTTGGAGAATGGAACCAAGAAATGCAAATGTTGCATGTTTAAATGTATGAAAACATCATACTAGTTTACACCTATAAAAATCACAGTGTAGCACAATGCAACTTATAACATTGTATACAACTTCTAATACAATACCACTTATAATAACATTGTAACAATAAACCTATAATAACATGTAGCACAATGCAACCTATAATAACATTGTATACAACTTATAATAACATTGTATACAACTTATAATAACATTGTAGCACAATACAACCTATAATAACATTGTATACAACTTATAATAACATTGTAGCACAATACAACCTATAATAACATTGTATACCACTTATAATAACATTGTAGCACAATACAACCTATAATAACATTGTATACAACTTATAATAACATTGTAGCACAATGCAAACATTGTATTTTAACACAGCTGGCTAGAATAAGATTAGACCCTTTGCACTGTTTAGAGGAAATTGGGCTTTTCTGTATCTGATGGGCTTACCTGTCTGGCTCTCCAGCTCGCTGTAGTTGGGTTTCTTGGAGGCACAGAAGTGTTTCTTCACCAGGAATGATCGAGGCATCTTGCTGACGAGGAAGCAGCAGCAATACACAGAGAAGGATCTTACATGGGACTCCACACACTAGGATTTAAAGGAAAGGCACTGACTTGCTGAGCCCTCCACTGGCTAATATGCAGCCCTCCAGGCCGGGGGAGGGGCTATGCAGATGAGTATTGTCAAGCCTGGGCCAGTCAGCAGGCAGGGGGTGTGGTGCCAAGTTGCAGTGTCCCCATTCCAGCAGGTGCCTGGAGCTGTGAGTTTTTTGGATGCTTTCCCCACCCCTATAATAGAGCTGTGCAAACGTTTTATTGTATCTGAAGGCAATCTCCCTGCCTGCTCCTCCTCCACTATACCTGCACTGGGGAGAGAGGGGGGGATTTTATTTTTTAGGTCACTAATCATTAACTTTGCAGCAAAAAAAAAAGAGAGAGAGAGAGATAGAGGGGTCCCTGAGATTAGACTGACTACATGGGGTCTTTCAGAGACTTATCCCCCCTTTGCACATCCCAATACATAGTAGCCAAACAAGAAAACTCCTTTGTGGCCGCTAAGCCGACACTTTACTCAGACAATGGAAGCCCACGGCTTGTTCAAATAGGTTTTCTTTCTTTATTTTCTTTACTTACACAAATGTGGATCTCTTCTTTACAAACTGCCTTTTATTCTGCCGCTGTTTTGTCTTCTGTAGGGCAGTGTGGTATTTGCACACTGTTGTTGGGTCGATTGAGCGTAACGCGATGCGAAGCTGTAAGACGACGTCAATCCTAGAGAGGATTTGTGTTCTGCTCTGACCTGATCTGATCTGCGAGGATAGCGTTTGATTCATTCACACCAGAAATTGTGTGTTTTTGCATGCGCAGTGACGTGCATTTGAAGCACGCTTTTACGCACATTTGTATGCATTTGTGGTGCATTTTCCCCCATGCTGATAATTCCTTTGAGATCACTTCCTTCTTCTTTGGGCTTTTATGTGCAGTGCACTGTGTAGCAGTGCAATTATGTGCATTTGCAGAGCAGAAAAATGCAGCTTGTTGTACTCTTTTTCACTGCATAGTCTGAACTATGCACATGGGATAACCTGGATTTTGGACTGTCTATGCCAGTGGTCTCCAAACTGCAGCCCTTTGCTTGCCTTTATCAGGCCCTTGTGGCATTGACATGGCCACTAACAGTGACACCAACGATGGGGCACTATTCCTTCCACTGACACCAACAATGGGGCACTAATCCTCCCACTGACACCAACGATGGGGCACTATTCTTCCCACTGACACCAATGATGGGGCACTATTCCTCCCACTGACACCAATGATGGGGCACTATTCCTCTCACTGATACCAATGATGGGGCACTATTCCTCCCACTGATACCAATGATGGGGCACTATTCCTCCCACTGATACCAATGATGGGGCACTATTCCTCCCACTGACACCAATGATGGGACACTAATCCTCCCACTGACACCAATGATGGGGCACTAATCCTTCCACTGACACAATGATGGGGCACTATTCCTCCCACTGATACCAATGATGGGGCACTAATCCTCCCACTGACACCAATGATGGGGCACTAATCCTCCCACTGACACCAATGATGGGGCACTAATCCTCCCACTGACACCAACGATGGGGCACTAATCCTCCCACTGACACCAATGATGGGGCACTAATCCTTCCACTGATACAATGATGGGGCAATATTCCTCCCACTGATACCAATGATGGGGCACTATTCCTCCCACTGACACCAACAATGTGGCACTAATCCTTCCACTGATACCAACGATGGGGCACTATTCTCCCACTGACACCAATGATTGGGCACTATTCCTCCCCCTGACACCAATTATGGGGCACTATTCCTTCCACTGACACCAATGATGGGGCACTATTCTTCCCACTGACACCAATGATGGGGCACTATTCCTCCCCCTGACACCAATTATGGGGCACTATTCCTTCCACTGACACCACTGATGGGGCACGATTCCTTCCACTGACACCAATGATGGGGACTATTCCTCCCACTGACACCAATGATGGGGCACGATTCCTCCCCGACACCAATTATGGGGCACGATTCCTTCCACTGACACCACTGATGGGGCACGATTCCTTCCACTGACACCAATGATGGGACACTATTCCTCCCACTGACACCAATGATGGGACACTATTCCTCCCACTGATACCAATGATGGGACACTATTCCTCCCACTGATACCAATGATGGGGCACTATTCCTTCCACTGACACCAATGATGGGGCACTATTCTTCCCACTGATACCAATGATGGGGCACTATTCCTCCCATTGATACCAATGATGGGGCACTATTCCTCCCACTGATACCAATGATGGGGCATTATTCCTCCCACCAATACCAATGATGGGCACTATTCCTCCCATTGATACCAATGATGGGGCACTATTCCTCCCACCGATACCAATGATGGGGCATTATTCCTCCCACCATTGATACCAATGATGGGGCACTATTCCTCCCACTGACACCAATGATGGGACACTATTCCTCCCACTGATACCAATGATGGAGCACTATTCCTCCCACTGACACCAATGATGGGGCACTATTCCTCCCACTGATACCAATGATGGAGCACTATTCCTCCCACTGATACCAATGATGGGGCACTATTCCTCCCACTGATACCAATGATGGGGCACTATTCCTCCCACTGATACCAATGATGGGACACTATTCTTCCCACTGACACCAATGATGGGGCACTATTCCTCCCACCGATACCAATGATGGGGCACTATTCCTTCCACTGGTACCAATGATGGGGCACTATTCCTCCCACTGATACCAATGATGGGACACTATTCTTCCCACTGACACCAATGATGGGGCACTATTCCTCCCACCGATACCAATGATGGGGCTCTATTCCTTCCACTGGTACCAATGATGGGGCACTATTCCTTCCACTGACACCAATGACGGGGCACTATTCCTCCCACTGATACCAATGATGGGGCACTATTCCTCCCACTGATACCAATGATGGGGCACTATTCCTCCCACTGATACCAATAATGGGGCACTATTCTTTCCACTGACACCAACTATTTCTCCCCATAATACCAAAGATCAGGTATTTGTTCCCACTGGGCACAGCCCAGCCCCTCTAAAGTCTGAAGGACAGTATACTTGACCTTTCTTTAGAACGTTTGGAGACCCCTGGTCTATTCAGTAGGAGTGCAGTAAAAAATGCATCCCACTACAACAGGTGTGAATGGGCCCTTAGTTTACTAAAGCATAAATAATATACATTATTCGTTTTACATCTCAGATCCCCTCCAGCCTCTTTCAGGCACTTCCTGTGTAAACGCGTTCACTTCAATGTCAACTGCCCACCATTGCTCACGATCGGCTTCCTGATGATAATGGTAAGCAATGCCTGCGTAATGTGTGTTAGCACGGCTCCCTATAGTTTCCAGCAGAGCTACATGTGACAACGTGACAACGCAGCACAACACAACAGGGACACAGTTGTCACCCCCATAACAAAATAAATATGTCTCAACAAGGCCATTCATGGCAGGATCCCCAGATTATTATTTTGTTTTAATGAAAACATTGAAAATTTGAAGTCTTGACTGTTGTTCATTGAGAGAATCCACACTCATGCCTTATATCCTGTCGTATTTATGTTACTGGACTGCCACTATCCTATTTGCAAAATCCTAATCAGAAATATTGAAAAATCTGAGACTTTAGTGATATTGCTTAGATCTACAGTACCTTAGGGCTGGTTCATACCCACCCAATGCAGTCCTACCGCATCTGGTGTGAATCGGCCCTCAAAGCCAGAGTCTTTGCACTGAGCTTCAATAAGCTTCCTCTTCTTCTTGACCTACAAATCTCTATATGGTTCTCATCATACCAGAATGCGGTGCAGAAAACCCACATTCTGTGCGCCTTTCCCGCACCGCATTTGAAACGCACTGCAGTTGCGATCTGCAGTAGGTTTCATAATATTATTATTATTATTATACAGGAGTGTTTGCTCAGCGCTTTACATTATAGTGGGAGACAATACAGTAACAATACAGTTCAGTACAAGAGGGAATTGAGGGCCCTGATCCTGGGAGCTTACAATCTAGGAGGGAGGGGTGAATGGTACAAAAGGTAAAAACTGTGGGGGATGGAGTGGCTGGAAGACTAGAGGATTCCAGTGTTAGTAGAGGGCGGGATAGGCTTCCCTGAAGAGATAGGTTTTCAGTGATCGCCTAAAGGTAAGTAGAGTAGGTGATAGTCTCATAGATTGGGGTAGGGAGTTCCAGAGGGTGGGTGACGCCCTGCAGAAGTCTTGAAGACGAGCATGGGAGGAGGAGATAAGGGAGCTAGAGAGTAGGAGGTCTTGCGAGGAGCGGAGTGTACGGTTTGGGTGATATTTAGAGATAAGATCGGATATGTAAATATTAAGTTAATGACACCCCAAACGCAGGTCACAAACGCAGTGCGTTTCCCCGCATCAGAACACATGGTACAAAAGTACCACGCAATGCGGTTGCAGCAAGTTTGCTAAAATAGTGCATGCATTGCTTTTGGTGGGTTGCATTTTGAATGGGCTGAAATCACACTGCACACAACTGCATGCAAATCGCACGGGAATACACAGTGCACTCCTGTGCGATTCTGGGTGTGAAGCGATCCTAAAGGAAAGTCGGTAATAAACATATCTCTATATGTAACACAAAAGTAGGGAAGAGCTAGCTTGTCAATATGAGATTGTTGGACAATCCAGGTAAACGTATAAGTAAAGACAACAAGCACTTACCTTGGCTTCATATAAAATGCCTCCACTTACAGAGTGCTGGATTCAAATAATCAGTCCTTTTGTCTCTGTAAATATGTAAATACCCGGCTTGGAATTGTTTGGGATCAGGACAAATAACATGATTAACATATTTATCCAGCACAGGATTTTGGTGCTAAAAACCATTGTAAAGTAAAGGAATAAAGGAGATGGGTGTTGCTGTGTTT